AATTTCTTTGACATATAAACCGAATATCGCACACTTCTGCCACTCTGTTGTGCAAACGAAATTTTCTGTCATATTTATGCGAGCAAAGAAGATCAGCTTAGCGTGTATTTGCTTCATGGTGTATCGTTTTGAAAAAATTCAGCGCTCTATCCAATGAGCATTTTTTGTCGCTTTTTCTGTTTCGACGACAGCCGTTCCCATCACGCGTGTAGATGTCCGTTTTTCCATCATCGTCATCGCGATTGATACCTGCAAACGGCCCTAGTGATTGCTGTGCACACCTTGTCCCAGTTACGCTGAGTTCACTCCACTTGACCCTTGTCAGCTCTCTAATCTTGCCGTTCAGCCTATCAATATGGGTCGCCGGATAATATCAACAAACGCTCCATCTTTAGCCGTACAGGTTTTGGGTTTATGTGGTTCAACGAGGTGTGGAACAGATGTCAAAACAGAAATAACGTGCACCTATTGCCAGAAGTAATTTCATCCCGTGTGAATTAAATTTTCAAGCAAGTTGATTAAACAGATGATTGACAATCAGATTGGTTTTAGTTGTGCCTAGATTTCTTGAAAACATATGCTACTAAATGCGGAATAGGCTCCTGAAGAAATGGCGAACGTGACAATTACCACACTATTAAAAGGATAGCTATGTTGAGTCCCCGGTCACCCCAGCGAGCCCAACACAGCGACTGATCAAACGTCTTCGGTATTGCCTAACCAGTACCACTCAAGCGCAAATCCCGCAATCAGCTGATGTGAGAAGTACTGTGCCCATAACAGTGAAGAACGCAACCGCTGTTCAAGAGGCAGAGAACATTATTCCCCAACTAAAGCCGAACGTTATAACAATCAGGCTGATTCGTGAGAATCAGCTGATGTACCAAGAGGCGATAGGACAGCGTTTCATCTCTAAACCTAAGCTGTTGTATAAGCACGTTAACTCAAATCGGAAGGTTTAGTTCGATAAACCGGCACTAAGCTACGCTGGGATGGTTGCAACCACTACAGAGGAAGCAACTGAAATGCAGAAAACCCCTATATTGCTCCGACGCGTGTTCAAGGTCTACAGCTCCCTCATCGGCTGCATTATCTTCCATACCGTTCGCCGACTGCTGAAAACGTCAAAGAAAAACTGATGGCTTTGCGAAAAAATGCAACTTGAGGTGCGAACAAAATATACCCAAAATCTCTTATACTTTCAGCAAAGCACAAATCCGAACCACCAGCCATTCTATTTCAACGGATTTTGGAACAAACAACACCCCCACAATCGTGGACACAAGTAGTTATTTCACCGGTATACAGAGGTGGTTGTCGCAGTGACCCCGCTAAATGCCATCCCGTAACACTTCTATCAGTATTATCGAATGTCATGGAGTCAACAGTGACAGATTCATTGACGAAGTACCCGGAAAGATATCATTTGGACATTTC